ACAGTAAAATATCCAATTTCCTCGTTCCGATATTCTATTCGACTTTATCCTGAGCTATTCTATGGCAAGGGAAATTTGAAGCCGTGTCGTTTGTAATACTTTGCAGCCTACGATGTAAGGTTTTGATGGCGAAGAAAAGGCGTATTAATATTATGGTCTTCTGAGATGTGATCCCGTATAGTCTGGTAGTTAAAAACGTTCCAGAAATCTCTGCTGTCTCTATCTTCATAGTACAGGAATCTACACTGAAAAAGGCGGCAAACATTTTCCTCGAAATATCGGTAAACTTCCATCAGACGTCACACACTCGAAAGCTGCAGTCAGGTATTCACTCTGATCCGCGGGAGGGTCAGAGATCGGTACTGGCTAGGGCTAATAAGAACGGTGAACTGGAATATTGTCCCTTTCAGGACCGAGAATAATGCTCCGAAACGTCGGTATCTATCCACAAAACTGCAAGTTGTAATAACCCAGAAGACCACAATCTATATAATTGCAGTCGTGAACGTAATATACCCCTGCTTTTCCTTCACAAGAACAAGAAAATCCAGTCATTCTACCCGGAAAATTATACAGCGTGAGAGTCTGTGCATCTCAGTTACACTCAACTTGGGGCTTTAGTTTTGGCGTGATGTTGAGGTTAGGTGGCACCATTCGAGTAGGTCAATGTATGCAGCACGGGTTCTGGTGTCTGTCCAACTTGAAATAATATTTACCGGACTCCACTTGTGGACAGATTGTTCAGGATAACATGAATGTAGGGCACGCTCACATCCACTGTCACAGAGTCTGTGAACGCGATAAAAAATGAATCTACTTTCAGAGCTTCATGACTGGCTAACCATCAATTAATCAAACCAAACAACACACACACACACACACATCTCACTGTACCAATTCACTCTCTCATTCATTCGTGCCGCTGTACCGCCGTCGGTCGCCATTCGCTCTGCTGCTCAAGAAATGTTCGGTTATTACGAAACTCTGATGTTCATTACTCCCATTACATCTGTTCTCAGTTACCTCCATCTACTTCACATCTTCTTAATTTATATTTAGGATATTTAATGACGATATTTCAACTGCTGAACATGAGGAAAAGCAGAGTATAAGGAGACTTTCGTACATAGACTTCAACCAAACAGAAACTGTTCTAGAAAAAAATAACTTTTTGCAGAAGAAGCATTGTGTCGAATCAGATGGAAGTACAGTCAATGACAAGTAATAGGATCTGGATATGACCTATCGCGAGGTATTCGCCATCAGCTTTTAGACGCTTAAGGCACCCACGAAACACCTCAGTCAGGATACAGAGTAAACCAGCGGGGACTCAAACCTGATACTACTCCAAGCTACTACTCAAGCTACTCGCTTTCACAGCCTCATAACCTCTGTATAATGGAAGTTCCAGTTTAATGTTTTCAACTTTACAATATCACATGTTTGTGTAATATATATATATGTTCAGGTCTTCATCTTTTTCATTCAGTTCCTTACAGTCTGTTACTCACGTTACCTTTAGCGGACTTTGTCACAATTTCTTTGTAAGTGGCTCAGGGCTGTAAAACTGTTGGACAACGTGAGTAACAGACTGTAAGGAACTGAATGAAAAAGTCGCTGGAATCTTTGGAGCCTTTAACCACATTTTCACTCTGAAGTTGTTATGACTTTGAACTTAGATTTGCATGAATTGGTTTCCCATACATCAGATGGTGTAGAAACAAGCGTTCTTAATATTATGTAATAAGAATATGTAACACATTACAGTAAGAGAAGCGCCATCAATTATTTATTAAAATTTAAATTAATTTAAATCTTTTTCTCTCTTTTTTTTTGGGGGGGGGAGGGGAAACTGGGGCTATAGGTCAGCGGTTTTCGAACTCTTATAATCCGAGGCTTCCTTTATGTGAATAAAAAAGGTTCAGGTCCGCCAACCTATAAAAATAATGTGGTTTATAAATTACCAAAAAGTAAACCTTAATGATATCTGAAAATCTCCTTATATTAAATTGTATAGTATATGTGGCATTTCCGGATTAAATGCTTGAACATCTTTTTTATCAGCCAAGTTTACGATTGCGGCAGAAAATAGCTTCACTGCCCCTTGGTGTGGGTGCTGCATCTGTCTCTTCAGAAAACAGCATATCAAATTCAATTCGTTTTTACATTTTCTTTATAGTACTAGAGCTACAAATATTAATACTGTCACGTGTTTATGGCTCCATTACCAATAATAACGGCTACTGGATTGGATTTATTGACACCTTGTTTTACAATGACTTGTATTCACAGTAAGTTATGTAAAATAACTCAAAACAAATGGCTGCCTAACACTGGCCCCATTCTGTCTGGGCTACGACTGTTTTCTAGAATTCTCTTCGCAGGCTGACTTTCAACTGACAATTGACTGACTTCCGTCTTTGTTCTTATCTGAACGGCCGCTTGTATAATGTAGCGATATCCTAAGAAATATCTGTTGATTACTAGTATCCATGGACACGTCTGTTGATCCCACAGCAACGTACTGGTATCCAAGAACCTACATATTTCATTTTCGTATCCTAGGAAACGTGTTCGTCAACTCGTTTCCTAGAAATGGGTCTACATGTCACAATACACTTGATTATATTTGTTTTCTAGGTTTATTGCATTGAGATTAGCTAGAATATTTGTGAAAACCGTTTACATCCTGATAGAATATATCGTTTCTTATTCGGTTTTATTTTATGCTTTGCCATTGTGTTACCTCCCTCCTTCTTCTCTCAAACAATATATAATTTGAGTAACGACACATTAATCGGCATATTTTCTAAGGCACACACTGTTTCGCGTTTTGCACATAGCTCTCAAAATTCCGTAAGTATATGATTATACAAATTATATAAAATTATACAGGCAAAACAGAAGTCATACAAAATCGTGTTATCGAAAATGTTCGAAATATTGGACAAGACGAAGCCAGACATAGAAAGTAGAATAGGCTTAAACTTGGCGGCGGTCAAGCATACGTCCTTTCAAGTGAC